ATATATTGTTGCAATATATTAAATTTAAATTAGGTTCTAGATGTAAACAACACATGTTTACCATAAAATGTAAATCAGAGCCTCCAAAATTACGCAATTAATCGGAATTAAACAATGAGCGGGAACTTGCAAATTTATAGTCTGGAATCTCATGGAATATATTTTCGGAAATTAATTTTGTAAATTCGGTACAGTTCCATTTCGTTACGTCTAAAATTTCAATATTTTGAAGAAGCAAAACATATTGCGCAAGTGGCCACTTTAACTCATTGCCCGCATTTTCTAACGCCAGCGCTTCTATTAATGCATTTCAATAACTTTACTGTTGTTTACGAAAATGTGTTACAATTTAATCAATATCTGTATGCTACGTTGAAGATACCTATAATAAAATTTTACCAACTCATACACGCGTTAATACACTTTTGCTTAAATATTAATGCGTTCGCTTGATTTTTTAAATATTTTAATTATTTTATAGCTCTCTCCGGAAAGTGGAAAATACAACAACAATTCATATAGGTAGTACTTGAATGGGTTTTTTCTATCAGCATTTTTTAGCTTTCGCTGTTTCTCACTCAAGCAACCAGCCTCTTGTCATCCAAATGGAATTAAACCATGTAACTCTTGACCCAAAAACTGCATGAAATCGTATCAAACCAATAACTCTTCCAATATGCCCGATAGCAACAAATCATTAGGTCCCCGTTGGGCTATTATCTCGAGGTTTTTTTTAGATAACGATAATTCTTGTCGAATTAATTAACTTACCCCAACTGACTAATTTCAAAGTGATTACATTAATGAAACATGTTTTGCATTTGTTTTTGGTGTGATTATTATCAACAAAAATCTGTTTTGGCTTTAGCCGTAATGCAGATTCATGGACTTATGCATGTTCGGTTTGATGCTAATTAGATTTTATTTTGCTTCGTGCCAGGAAGTCTATAAGAATTCCTCAAATCAAAAAAGCTACGAAGTGTTTTGAATTCGAAGTTGGATGATCTTAACTTCAGGAAATAGCATTTTTTTAAATTTGAGTTGTTTTTCGCTGATATTTCTTTATAAACAACTGACTAAAAATTACACCAGGATTTCTGTCTCAATTATTCAAATAGGTATTTATTGTCTTATTTTAATTCTTTCAGCAGAATGTAATACAAAAAATGTTGTGGTTAATATGATAAATGTTACATATTTTTGTGACTAGGAAAATATTTACGTTCTTGTGTCGATGGTTCATTCGCTAATGGGAATCGTTCGTGTATTATGAATATAATGATGAGTAAAGAAATATGTTCTCCAACGTGCTTGTTTCAGTTGCGAAAATAGCAAATATTGCAAATTATTTCGGGATAACTACAAGCAAATTAAATATTAATTGCATTAAAGTCTAAGCAATTAAAGCGTCATTCAATGTATTGTCTTCAAATATACGCAACTATTCTTGACGAAACTGTATTGAAGCTGCATTGAAATAAAATGCAATTTAGTATTGACTCTTGTTGTATAATTAATATCTTACTTCACATGGCTGATCCGTTTGATGAATAATTAATCTGGGCTCCTACTATTGTATACATTATTAAATTATGCAATAATGCTCTGATTGTTCTTAAATATATCTTAGCTGTTATACTTTCAGCTAAGTGTTTTTGCTGTTCAAAATTGAGAATGGAAACATTGTATCTAATCAGCCTCAGCATTCAGTAGTAGTTACTGGTATTGTAAACAGAAAGTAATTTAGTTAGCAGGAATAAAGTGATTCACTCGTCCGTTCAGCGGCAATTTAAAAGGATATAATTGGTTGTTTTAAATCAGCCATCCAACACTTCCTGGGCGTTCAATTCATGCAACTTAATGCAGAACATCAATGGATAATTTATTGTCACTAGATTTGCACATGTGCTAGAAGTTTTTTCATTATTAGATTATTAGACTACCCGGTTTCCGTACCTCATAAATTGTTTATTAATATTAGATGCCGCAGAAGCGTACCTACGAAAGCGAACTGGTTATAATTTTCAGTAAACCCTTTATGGTGCAAATAAATCATTATCCGAGGGAAATCCTCTTTCTATATGCTGGATTAGGGATATTAATATTGCCTTTATACAGTCAGCATTATGATGCCTTTTTTACTTTGCTAATAGCGCAGTCTAGTAGTTTTCCGGTGGAAATATTTAGTTTTCATATGCATTATTGTGAAATTGTTCAGAACATCAAGTTGTTTGTAGAACTATAGAGTATTAAAAGTGCCAAGACTTCAACATGGAATCTTGTTTGGGTTTCTGCATTTAATTTCAATGTAAATACTTAGCTAACTTCTGGCTGTCGACCTTTGCATAAGCCTTCGCAAAATGATTAAGTAGCACCTAGATACAGATCTAATGACTGCATATCATCTTATTGTCTTTAAAAATTAAATCAATGACGAGTTGGAAGCTCATGCTTTACATAACACCTTGACTCGACTGTAGGTAATGCATAATAAAATAGTAGGTAATACATAATGTTAATGTAATGAGAGGATGAAAAATCATTGCAGAACAATACATCCTGTATTTTGAATGTTTGGACGTTTATTAAAAACATACAATATGCGGAAATCCTCAATCAACATCCCAGCTTTAATAAGCAATTATTTTATTTGCGGTTGGTGGTAAAAAATAAGTTTGCCGAAATTTGATAACTAGTCTTTTGATACAATTCTCAGGCTAATAAACATGTATTCTTTCAGGCCTTGAAAATTAAACTTGAGCCTTTAAAAGGATGTCGCTTTAATTTCAATAATAAATATAATAAGCACGGACATGGAAAATTACAGAAGACGAGTCTTACAATTTGCGGGCATCGAGCTCCGAGTGCCATGGGAACTGGACAAATTGAGAAAGTCGCAAGGACGCAATAAACGCCAAATAAAAAATTATTAGAATCCAGCAATCCCCGATTGCGTAGGGATGGAAACGATTTGAAGTTATCCAATTTGTCTTTATTTAGCACAAGAGTTTTATATATTAGAACACGCCAGCGATACATGTATATTCGTGATATAGAATAGATGGAGTTGAAACTAGTTTCTTAGCAGTTGCACACAGTTATTGTTTTATTTCTTATCAGTAACTATGGAGGTTTTCACTCGGTTCTCAAACTTATTGAACTAATATATACTTAAATGAACATTTTTGCAAACTGAAAAATGAGACATCGAAAGGGAAAATTATATGGTTTCAACTGGAACACGCATTGGCTAATGCAACTAACGTTGCAAAACTCGTTATACTGCAATTAATTCAGTTAATGGATTAGGTGGACGGTGTTCCTATCCTCTTGGTCTTTTGAGAGTTGCATCTAGTCAAGAATAAAATATTTCGGAAGAATAGTAGTTGATTTCACTTCTTGGATTGGTCATAATTGAGCTTTTACTTATCTCATTCCTATTTTTCGTCCAGAGAACTGTCGTCAAATTTGTAAAATCATTTGAGTTTTTAAGATGCGTTCTATGTTTCTCATTTATAATTTTATTTCCATTTAATAATTATCGATCAAGAAATTAATCTTGATATTTATCTTACCATTTTATTTATTTTATTATATATTTACTTTATCTTATCTTACGTCCGTCGTCGTACGAATTGACAGATCTCCAACCAATAGAAACACTTTCTTACCATCGTATCATCGTACAAACGGATGCATGGGACACGGGCTTTAGAAGTGAAAATATAAGCCGCTCTTTAATATCACGTTTTAGATCACAGTTTATTTTTACGTTCGTCACAGATTGTGATTTCGATTTACTGATCGCTGTGAAAAATCACAGGTAGTGATTTGTTGTTCAACAACTCTAATTTAGACTGATGCATGTCCCGTCTCATTGAAAAATCGCAGAGATGATTTTAAAGCCTGGAAAAAAGCTACAGAAATGACATTCTACAGACCGATTTCCTTGCTGCCTTTGAAACTATTTGAAAAATATTCCTCAAACGATTGAAACCAATTATTGAAGAAAATAATCTACTACCGAATGACCAGTTTGGATTTAGGCAGAGACACTCAACAATAGAACAAGATCATCGTCTGATCGACATCATAGAAAAAGCTCTGGAAGGAGAGCATATGTGTTCAGTGATCCTTCTAGATGTATCGCAAGCATTCGATAAAGTCTGTCATGAAGGCTTACTCTACAAACTTACCAAATTCTTGCCGGTGCAATTCGTCAACTTTTTATAAAACTATTTAAAAATAATTAATATTTATAAATCTGTGAATCAATAAGCAAAGCCATAAATGTAATATTAAATCAAATATTCATTGTTTCAGGGTATTTTCCGTTTGGCATGTGAAAACGTATTGAAAACCATGCGTAAAGGTCGCGAAACCCTTTTAACGTTGTTAGAGGCCTTTGTGTATGATCCATTAATAGATTGGACAGTCGGGGGTGAGGTTTTGGCAGGAACTACTTTCGGAGGAGTAACAAAAGCAGGTGAAGCCGGCAAACGACAAACGAAAAAGGAATTGGAAAGAGAAGTGACGATATCGATGTTCGAAGTGAGATGTATGGAAATGAAAGTCGAATGGCTTGAAAACAAGTAGGTCAAATATAGATATTTCACAGATTTTCACTTGCATTATTCAAATCAATAGTGTCTGAAAATATTGAATTCTTTCCAGGGACGAAGTGTTAAATGAAATTCCCAATGTAGTCGAGCATTTGAATACTTGTTCTGCTGTAACGAAAGACATTGAAGAAATTGAAGATCAACTTCAAGATCTCCATCAGCAATTAGCTCTTGTTAAGGAAGCAGAAGCCCAAGGGCCAAAGAAGCATTCTCTGTACAAGTTACCGTCGCTTTACGAGGCGTATGTGAAGAGCCAAGAGGCATTGAATATTGCCAGAAAGGTAACGTGTTGTCTCTGAGTAAACTTCATGTTGCTATATGTGTTTTGTATTTCAGGGGCTGTGTGACATAATAAAAGATTGCCAAGCACATAATAATACCTATAATCAGGTTTTGATATCGTATGAAAACGAGCAATTTTCGCAATGGCTCCTCGAACTTCAGATTAACATTCCTGACGATAACATGCATATTTTTGATTTAGTTAAAGAATTTCTCCATAACGCTGGCAAAAATGATGTGGTTACTCAGTGCGAAAAATCTGAATCAGAGGTATGAAATTCACATATAAATGATTGGTTAAGATATTTTGTAAATATCTAATTTTGTTCTTAGGTGGGCCAGTTGTTCAAAAAATTGAACATACATGCTCAAAATTGCATTCAGACATTCCAGGACTATTTCACTTTACTACTTCAGTGCCCAAAATCGTATCACGAGAATCACAGAATAAATATGTACAACAAATGGGCGAAATTTCTATTGGAGAATCAAAACACGAAGAGCTGCGACATTGTCTTTGAAGAAATTAAGGCGTTTTTGGAGTCCAAGACGCAAGACACTTCCCACATTGTTAGCATCGCTTATACTCTTGATACTTTCTACAAAGAAAACTTTATTCAGGTGAATAACTTATTCGAAGAACTGAACATTATTCGAAACAGAGATCCGCCGCACTCCGTCGAGGCGTCCTACAATCAGGCGAAAAAGAATATGGATTCGTTTCTGAACAAGGAGAAAGACTCTGACAAGGCTTTAAGATTTGTATTGGCTGGGGAGTTGCTGCTTTTGAATAGAGTATTTCTTACTTCCGAAATTGCCGCGCAGAAAAGCGGAAATTGGCTTATAAAGTTGACCTCGCGAGAGGGAGATTGGTTTTTAGATGATCTGCTTTTGAACAGTACGAAAGCAGTGGAAATGGTCAATCATATCCCTCTAAAAGCAGATGATGATAGTCGGTAAGTTGAACGTTTTCAATAAATACATTTTAGGCCAGGAGCGTTACAGATTGGCAACGGGACGTAACTTAAATAACTATTGGAATCGCTCGCAGTCAAGTACTTTTCTCTAAATGATGACGTTATTCGGTTATTTTTTCATTGTTAAATAAATAATTTAAAATTACGTTGTTTTTACCTACTTTTTGTACTTTGGGACATTTTAAATCGAACATTTCAAATCTTCGGATATCGGACCAATCTATCTTTATTCTCTATATAATAATATCTCTATTAAATACATTTTTTCTACAAAATGTATACTTACCTAGTTATATGCGATTGTTTCCGGAAAAAAACGCAATTTTCGCATTTTTTTCACTTTTTTGTTGTTTATGCAAATAGCACAACTTTTCAAGCTGGCGCACCTGGATATTTTCGATAGGTATACCATTCCCGAGCGATTCCAGCCATATTTGAAAAATTTCGTCGTAATTCTCCTGGCCTATTTCCTCTATGATTTTTCCAGTTGCAGTTTTTTTTAAATCTCGAAAATGTTCTATATTTCAGATTTATTAAAATACTCGACGGCATTCGGACAGCAAATGCAGTCTACAAAGGACTGTATGATCTGAATCATAATTTCCAAACTATTATATGTCCCGAATCGATAAAAAAAATTCAGGCAGATGAAGAAAGCGTTTTAACCATGATATCTGATTTAAATCAAGTGATTGCAGAATCAGAACTGCCTATTCAAGACATGATTAGCCAGCTGGAGAAACTGTTAACCTGTGTATTGATGCATGTTGATGTTCATGTAAGTACTGTTGGGCAACATTTTTACAGACCACATGCACCCTGCTTATCTTTCTACTTGTTCGTGCCTCTTTCGTTCATTGAGTAATGTGTGTTATAAATTTGTTTGAAATATTTTTTTATTTGTTATAGGCGACCTATGACTACGTTCTAGAGAAAATCGAAATTACAAGAAACAAATACTTAGCACTTATTCCAATACAAGCGGAATCATTAAGCCAGGGTAAAATGCTTCTAATGGGCTTTAATGGGCTATTTGAAAAGATAGACCAAGAAATCAATAATCTTACTTCAACATTAGGGTCTTTAGACCTGCCCAGGTCCTGGAAGAAACTCGATCACGTCAAAGAGGCGAAGACTATCGCGCCTCATATTTTTAACGCACAAGTTAAAAATATTTTAGAGAATATATTCTTCTTGAAAAGAATCGTTGCGATATCTGAGTTCTTTTCTTTGGCCTTACAATTAGCACATGGGATTAATTGCATTGTACCCGGAAGGATTTACTCCGACGAAACGCTTACCAAACCCGTTAAGCAATTTACGTCAGAGTTTATATCTAGGCAATTATTAGGAGTGACACCAGAGACAATAACATACGCCATATGTTTTATTTTGCAACAACTAAATCTTGATGTAATCCATGAAATTGAGCAAAAAGATATCGGCGCCGAAAGCAAAGTACCGATAGATGAATTATATCACAAGTCCTACAATTTGCTATTGAAAGATGGAGTTTTTACTAGTAATTTGGTCTCACAAGTGTCAAGTCTGGAAAATTCTCTGAAAGCAGCTTGGGATAAAATTCAAGAGCCAAAGAAAATTGAGCAAAAATTGACAGTATATAAATCTAGCACGTTCAGATTTCAAAACCAACTAGCAGTTCACAATTTGATGTTCGACGAAATTCTTTGTGTTAATAATTTTCCTTCAGCTCGAGCCAAATTTGTTCTCGATATGCAGAATGAACTGGCACATCTTCAGACAACATACAAGCAGCTAAAAGATGCGAAAGGACGACAACAGAAACTCATTGAAAAGGCGTCTCAAAGGTTAAATTGGGCTAAAGGTGCAAACCCCAACGTAAACGAAATACTTTCTGCCTTTGAAACTGCTATTACTTCGAGAGATAGTCGGCTAAATCTAGTACAGAAAATTGCTTCGAACATTCTACAATCATATAATGTAGTTTTGCAACATGAGATACTGAGATCTACCACTGCGGACACAACACAGGAGTACGATAAAATATTTTTGAATTGTTACGAGAAATGGAGAATCACGTGTCAGTATAATGAATCCAGAACCGAAAATTTACTTCCCGCAGAAGAAAGCATTCTCAACATGCTCTCCTTGGATCTGCTAAATGAACCTCGTTGGCTCCACCAAGTTGCCTTGCACATAGCGGAAGTAATAAATGTTTACCAAAAAAAATTAGCCGATAAAAAAGAGACTGTGTTCACCGAAACAGACAATCTAGTATCTGTAGTGAATAACTTCAAGGCTATCTACAATATACAGTCCCGGCTAATGCAAGATGTAAAGGGCCTGATAAAAACGTTGACAAAAATCGATGACTATAGCCATTCCACTCAGTATTTCATTCATGACTACAAAAAGTATGCGGAGCATTTTAACGCCATGTTCAATGCTTTCAAAGACCACCCAGTGAATAAGGGATTGATAGAGGAAATGCTACTTCATTTGGAATACATCAAAAACAACACACCATATATTTACGAAGGTAGGAGAAATGATAGGTAAAATCAGAATGAGATTTCCACCTTCTGATTTGTTTAGGTCTATTGAGTCTACAAGAGCTGAAGAGCGTGAGTCATAGACCTCGCTTGAGGAGACAGAGCTATATTTTGGCATCAGATAAAAGCAAGATGCAAGAGAGCAAAGTTCAGCAAAGAAATGCGTACGCACTCAACGTTTGGCGAAGAGTAAAAATGAAGTTGGAAGGAAGAGATCCAGATCCTGGGAGAAAATGTACTCCCCAGGAACAGGTAAGACGTATTAAAGTAATTATTTTATTTCAACTATGTATATTGTCGCAAGTAAATAAAAATATGTATATTTCTTTAACTCTTGAGAACTACAGAATGGTTTTGCTGTCCATTTGGATCAGTACAATGGAATATTGTATAAGCGCGTCGACATGTTAAACACAAAATAATTAACATGCGGCGTTGAAAATGGTTTTTACTCTCAAAAAAATTTCATACGCATTTTCAGCAATTTTGGAATATTTCGCTGCATACTATCTATCTATTCAGACGATAAAAATCGCTCACTGCATAGAGGATGGTCGAATCTTAAATAAAAATATACGAGAGTCTGATAAGTCCGTGACGTTTTGAATGACAATTTTTTTTTTGGCCAAACGAACGTTTTATTTTTCGGCATACTCTCCTTTTAGCTCGATACACCTACGCCGGTATGCATAGTCATTATTCGGCACTATGCCGGAGATTGCTTTGGCGGATAGCCGAGCTTGCCACTGTCGACGCGAAGATCGACCGCAGCGGCTGCTTTTGCGGTGATATTATTAATTTTCCGAAAAAAGTTCGGATCCGAAAGTCGTTTTAAAAGTCGGCGCTTGAACGCCGTGAAAGGCAGAAAAGATAAGCGCTATCCACTGCGGCACGTTACTTCAAAGGATAAGATATTGAATAAATAAATCGCAAAATAACTTTTTTTTTAAGAAAAGACATACTAACGGTCAAAACCGTTATTAATCGTTGAGAAAATCAACCAATTGATTCCGGAACCTCTTTTCTGGACGTTAAAAAAATGTAATGCAATAATAACACATCATACATACAAGCTTGACTTTTTTTTACCAAGTGGGGATTGACAGGAAAATTCATTAAAAATATCTATTATCAAAAGAACTTAACGGCAACAAAACATTTTGCACAATTTCCTTTTAGAAACGAAAACGTTTTCTAAAATTGGCTTCAGTAAATTTCTCTAAGGTATTTTCCATATCTCGAATGTACCTGAAAATAATACAATTATTATTTGAACCGCATAACATGCTTGTTGATGTTTTCTTTACGTACCTTTGTAGTATGTACCTAATTCAAGTTCGAATTATCCTGATTAACACTGAAAAATACCTACATCGATATCGTTATCTATATATTTAAAGCAAAAATAGTATAAAAAACATGAGTAGTTGAGAACTTTCGCTCACAAAATAGCTTTGGCGATCGTTCGGAGATGCAACCCATCTCCGACAAATTTCCACAGCATCGCCCAACAATATTAAAATGCGAGTGCGTCAGATGGCCAACCGATCGGGTGTGCAACCAAAATTGCCTTCAGCGAACGTCGGGAGGCCGGCGCATCGTGAAAGATCGATTAAACATACCGGCCTTAGTCCAGCGTCTCCAGTATTTTTTATCCTTCTCAAATAATGGAATTTCTCAAACTCAGGATACCACTTCTTAACGATTGAAATTGATGGTGCAGAGTATTTGAGCCTCCATAGTCTTTATCAAGCTTTTCCTTCGTTTCGGTGATGGTTTTTTTACGTAAAAAATAATGCTTGATCAGCACTCGAAATTCACTTTTTCTCATTTTTATCGGAATTTACGAAGTGATCTCCTTTCAATGACTGTTAAACACGACCTAAATGACGTGGCGTGCTAAAAATTTCGCAGCAGTCTACTAACAAACGACAGTTGACGGGGGTAGTGTTGAATTTAAAGTTACTGCGAGGGAAATAAAAAAAAAACTCACTGACTTATCAAACGACCCTCGTATCTTAGCGTTGCTTCGATTGATTACATCAAATACTATAGTCTATAGTCTATAGTATTTGATAACATGCACAGGGTTGATAAGCAATTTTCGATTGAAACCAAAATTAATGCTGGTTATGTTCTATGATTCTAGAGTTTTATATATTATAGTAAATAAATCTAAAACTTAATTTGATTTTTCAGGTGGACTACGTAATTTGCGAAGCCACCAGTATGGACAATCTAGCCCTTTTGTATGAGGGCTGGACGCCGTGGGTGTGACATGTGAATTGCGAAGACGTGTCCCTAGGCTGACAGTCTGTACGGGGCTCGTGCTGGCTCTTACTCTTCGAAATAAATCAAATCAGAAAGACGGAGATGGTGCTGTTGTCACTTCAAGCGCATCTACAGCATTGGACCATCTTCAATAGACCGCGGGAGACGCGGTTCAGCAGTAGCATTGGGTCGAGGTTGCAGTTTTGTGAGGCCTTTACCAATCTGTTTGTCATAGGGTGGTAGTATTTATAAATTCCACCCATTTTACAACTTGTACTTATTATTTGATTGTCGTCGCAGTTGATATAACGCCGCTGGTTCAGCGGTTGTGTATCAACTGCATTCTAATCATCTAAATTCCGCAAATATCATCTCTGTGGGGGTGAGCAGAAACATGTAGGTTTATGCACGCAGTTACACTGCTTATATTTCATATTTTACGTGTCAGAGAGTTCACGTTAACCCTGGAAAGCATGAACGCCCTGTGGAAGAAACGACATGGTCGCAAATGAGTTTGTGACATTGAGAAATCATTTAGTTAAGGTGAGCCAGTTTACATATTTGATTTATCGTTAATCTTCTTATCAATGTGTAGGTTGCTGCCCTACTATATGTAATTGATGTCTTCTAATTGTCACTGTCTAGGAATGTCTTACTTTATATGCAAAGTATTAGGTATAGGAAATCTGTAAACCATTCTACAACCTCAATTTACAAACTTAAATTAATCCACTTTCGTTCATTTTCAACCATGTGGTACATTTTGCTTGAACACCTGATAATTGAATAATATTTCATTCGTACAGTCAATCCCAAATCATAGTTAAAAATTATTACTTGTAAACTAGCGAATATCTCCCTTCTTTATTTATCCAACGGCATTTAAGTCATTATATGCTCGTACAGTCTTTGTTCCTATCTAAATTTAATAAAAATTAAAATTAAAATAAAAAAAATTGCTAAAAACAATATTAGGACCATGCAAGCCTGGAAGACATGTTCAAACATCATGAATTACGCAGTTTTCCGTCAAACGCAAATGCCAGGAGTTCTTGAGTTTAAAATATAATCGGAAGTGAGTGCTTTTCACCCACTTTTCGTGTTGAGTCTGAACATTTTCAGTCCGAATAAGTTTATAAATTCATTGAATCAAAGAACTAGCAATAAATACGATTCACGTATCCTAATAGACCGTTTCAACCATATTTAAACAATTTTTACCGATGTTTTTAGTTGTTAACATCCCATAATACCCTAAATTATCACGAAAATCGAACTGTTTCTAGTCTGAATTTAATCATGTTATAGATGATGTGCATTAACTAAATAATTAAGAATGAGAACTGGGTATCAGCCGTAGAAGAGTTTTAAATTATGTTTAATTAATTAGCCAAGAATTACTGAACAATTTTTAGTATAAATTTACGTGTTCACATGTGAGTCACAAAAAAACCTATAAAATCATACAATATTGTATCATTAATCAATAATCATACATATTGAGACTTGAAATTGTAATGCTCATGATTTGAAAAGTTAGTAAAGTAATTAAATGTGCGCAAATGGGAAAAACAAGTATGCAAACTTCGAACAAAGAATTAAACAGCAGTGAATACTATTTAATTTAACAAAAAATGAAAATGAATCAACAATTAGGTGTGAATTAAACTATAAAATAATTCTGGATACATTGATAATTATAATTGCTCCTGGTTAAACAACTGCCGGATGTTTTAAATGTTACATGGTACAGGTTTGTCGCAACTTATTTTGGCCAGATAAAAATACATGAAATATAAACGCGGTACAAACTGCATAAAGAATATTCGACAGTTCCATTTCCATAAACCATTTCTGAAAAGTGTTTTAATTTGTAAAAAAAATTCAAATAGTTTTATAGAGCAAGCTGCTTATTTCCACATGTATGTTTAGGACGATAATTATGAAGTACATTATTTGGATTTTTTTAAAGTGATTAATAAAAAATTATACGAGACGTAGCTTTATGAAAAAAAAACATGTCAATATGTCTACACCCTATTGTGACCATTGGAAAGATAATACTTAATTATTAGCAAAATGTAACATGAAAAATCCGAATAATGTTTTAGGTGTGTAGTGTTTCTGATGGAACAATATTTAATTGTTATAATACAATTAGGATTTTCTTTCAACTTAATTAGTGTAATTGTTCTTTTCTTCTGAATGGAAATTAGCATTATATCAAGAAAACTATTCTATGTATAGAAAATAACACCCGTAGTTGCAATAGCTACATAGTTGAAATGTTTGTTGTGCTAATTGCCATTCCATGCATTATTTGAATAGAATATTATATAAAAATGTATTTTTTTCTTCCCACTTGATAATTTAATAGTAATTTTAAATTTTAGTTCAAACATTCACTTTTCCAAGCGAGCTTGAGAAGCTTTCAATCATGTGTGGAAATGACTGATCAAAAGACACTACATAAGTCGAGGGGTTTTCTGCATATTAAATATGTTATACCGTTATAGTTTGAAAATAGCAACAGAGAAAAGATGACAAAAACACAAAAAATAAGGCAATTATCACATATTTTATTTAAAAAATATTGAAATACATCAGCAATAAACGTAACAAAGGATTATTTATATTTAACGAACGTTTAGCTCATATATTTACAGTCGCGTAATCTGACATGAATATGGCCTACCCATCAACACGAACTTGTGCATAAGTGGAATCTGATTTACTTTCAATATCATTAAGCAGTAATCTGGCATTCAATAAACTCTTCTCAAAAAACCCTGATAAATTGTCACATTCCTCTTTCAGTTCTGTTATAAAATCATTCAATGTTCGTGTTGTCTCATGTTCACGTTGAATAAGCTCAAAATCATGATTAACTGCTCTAGGACGATTGTCGTCAACAATATTCTTCAAGCATTGAAGTATGGAATGAGTAAGTAAAACGTACTGTTGTCTTTTTTCCGCGAAAATTTTAAAGTTGAGAATGCTATGGTTTTCAAATGTGTACACATTCAAAATAACGATTGATAAATGGCCAAATAATGGAGTTTTATCGGATAGAAAATACCCTCCAGATTTAAATGGTACATAAGTTAATGGACAATGGGATTGAAGTGCACTTCGATAATCAACTGGGAACTCAGTTGTTTTCAAAGCAAATTCTCTAACATTATAGCACGACACGGAAGTTAAAAGAGTTGACATTGAATTAATTTCGTAACATAAACTATTTTGTAAAGCGTCGTCTACAGAAAACTCCACTCTTGGAAAAGGACAGTTAAATAATTTTTTTGCTTTTGTGCCGCACTGAATATTGCCATGTATTACATAAATATGCTTATGTAGAAACGGAGGAAAATCAAAAGAAGCAGTCACAAAAACGTGTTTTGCATTATCGCAACTGTTTTCGTTAAATCTGTAAATTGATTTAGAAATTAACTCATCCTTCCTGCAATACCGCGAATCTTTCGCGCTCTCTCCGTTCTCCTCGTTGGATAATTGAAATATTTTAATGGTGTAAGTTAAATTCGGTTCATTATCAATAGTGAGCATTAGATTGACATTCTTTAGGCCCTCAGGAGAATTTACCTCAAAGCCCAACACGCATTTATAGCTAAGTATCCTTTTCCATATATCAGAAATCTGTAGCGAATTGCCATCGTGGAAAGTAGATTTAGATAGTTCTTGCTGGTTGTCGTTCAGTTCAGCTTGCAATTCTTCGTTTTGAAGCTTCAACTCTTCGAATTTTGCCAGTAAGTACTGCTGGGTTTTATCTTCAAGAATTTCCAAATCGTCTTCTATGTCCATTATTTATCTAGTAGAGGCAAAGAAAAAAATACGTTAAAAGCTTTTTAAAATTTTTTTTTGGATTGACCCTCATTATAAATTTAATCAGTATAATGACTCAGCAATATTAAATTATAAGTAAATCTTTGAGCAAGTATTATTTGCAACATTTACATGAAAAAATAATTTAATTTTTTTTTTAGTTTTCGTTAATTTAGTTTTTATTCGAATGAGTGCCATGTTTCAATCAGAAGCGATGATCATAAAGAAGAACGTTTCTTAACGGTTTCATTTGTTTTAGTTTTACGCACATTGTGCGCAAAAGCAAATGTGACAAATTGAACGAAATTGTTTGACATACGGCACCGCGACATCGTGACACTGTTGATGGCTCGGTGACATTTTGACATTTCTTGAAGGTTATCAGTCTTTGGCGCAATATTTTAATTTGGTTTGAGTTTAAATCATGTTTCCTTTGATTTGATTGCATTTCTGGAATATTACCAATCAGACTCATGTCTATGTGGTCAATCAATTGCCGATTACATGGATAGACAAAACGTGACCAAGCAGAAGAAGGCGCTTCTAAATATTTTTAACTTTGAAAACGTGATTTTTGATGCCCCTAGTTTGTTTCCAAGCATAATTCACTGTCTCATCCATATTCTTTTTTTTAATTTTCGCCTCAATTTCAAAATAAGCGAGTGCCATGACATCGATGTCTTTCACTGTCACTTCGCCCTTGTATTGAAAACTACTATTTTGCAGTCTGTACACATTATATCAAGCAAAAAGGATAATCCGAGAACTAATGTGAAAATCAAGTTACGTATGCTGTCGCTCTTATTGGTGCGAGCAAAGAGAAGCGTTCACAAATCATGGCTTTTTTTGAATGTGGATCTACCATCTGTTATTGAATAAAATTTGGCCACCCCAAACTAACCCACATTTTTTTAAAAATGGAATACCGTACATTCAATACATATTTGAACTATGCACAAAATTCTTGGCCTATTGGATATAATTATTCTAGGTATATTGATTTTAACTTGTTTTTGAGTTAACTAATATTGATTGGTCTGTGGCCATCCCGTTTTTAGACCTAATTTGAAATTAAGAGAAAAATTGGCGAAACAAATTTGCATTTTTTAATGGAATGTATCAATTGGTATTATCTTAAAATAAACTGGACGTTAACATCTACCAATTTTGTATATAAGATTTGTCTCTAAATTTAAAATTAGATCTAAAAACGGGGTGGCCACAATTCAATCAATATTGGTCATTAACTCAAAAACAGTTGAAACCCAATATAAGATTTATATCGAATAGGCCTAGAATTTTGCGAGCAGTTCGAATATGCAAGAAAAAGTACATTCCATTTAAAAATGTAAGTTTGGTCTGCCACTTGTATTTGAGACACCCTGTAGCAATTGGGATTAGCTTAAAATAAACTGGGCCTTAAAATATTTAACTTTAGTATTTAACTTTGTTCCTTAAATTTAAAATTAGATGTAAAAACGGGGTGGCCAAAGTTCAATCAATAACCGAAGGGGCTTAAAGTTTCATAAAAATCAAACAAAAGCAGCACAAGCATAAAAAATGCGCCGCAGGATTTGTTTATATTTGCCTAAGAAAGGCACTTGATTTACGACGATCATCCAAACAAGTTGGAACGTGCAACCTGCCTTTGAAAGTATTTCAGTATGAACTGAAAATTTCTACGACATTGCCAACAATAAAAAAAGCTGAATCCAACAGCAAAGTAAAGCGATGGTGACTCACCTAAAGAATGAGGAAGCAAAAGATTATATAATCATTCTATAGCTGGGTGCCTTCAGCATGTGAAAAAAACTTCAATATCGGATGAGTTTTGTGGAAAAGCTGTTTAAATATTCAGTCTGTGATAAGCAACGTACGAAATAGGTCTTCGGTTCTTAGTGTCTTGAAAATCGGGTTCGTAGACGGGATGTATAGTGAAACTATGCGTGTTCAAGTGTAGTGTGTGCTATTTGAGGATTACGGTGTAGAAAATGCAGGATGGGCGGCAGCTTGCGGAAAGCCGTTAAGAAGGATCTATAAACCCTTAGCTTGAACTAAGTTTAATTTTTCGAAAAGCAACTGAAGTTTTATAGAATTTCTACATTTTAAGACTAAACGTTTTTGTTATAATAAATCATGTTTTTCTTTCTATCCAGGTGGCACGATGCAATTTTCGGTAAGTTTGTCATTACTTTGCCTCTAGTTGCATGTAACATTTATTCGATGAGTAAGTTTCTGGTTTGAGTTTAAAATTAAAACACAGACAAGCGTAAGAAACGAAGACAGTGAAACTGAAAACTAAATTTTCTGTACTGGTACTGATTGGCTTCAGCGCAATGAGACCTTGTATTTTTTACACCCATGCATCATAGACGCAAAAATAATGCTTAAATGCGATTGAACCTTTTAATTTCGCGTGCATTTTCCGCGGCTCTTAACAAAAGCGATTTGTATCATAAGCGTAACGTTACGACGAGGAATATGATTAGGAATTTTAATTCCTAATAATAGTGTACAGTGTTATAATAATTAATTGTTGGTTCTCTAAAGTACTTATGGAGTACTTAAACGTGCTAAAATGGAAAAACAGACATTAAATGGCCGTGGACTATGAGTTTTTAAGCTCGCAAACCAGTTTTGGAACATAAAACACCAGTTGGGGGGTTGAGAATACCAGCTTCAGCACCCGCCATGCGTTTAGTATAATACTTCTGGGTGCAACTGTCTCTATTATCACATCAAATATCTGCTATACGAATGGCACACCCTGTATATCCCGTCTGCAGAGTGTTGCAGAATGATGTGAAGATATTTTACAGGCGTGTTTAGGAGGTGATATTTCTTTTATTTGGGCGTTTCTAGCGGAAATAATCAAAATTTAAAAAGAAAATGCATTTTTCGGCTATTTGAAGATCTATACAGGGTGACCATTTTTTAAATTTTTGTATGGGTAACTTCTACATTTTTAAAGATAGAGAATCCGTTAAATGGGCAAAATTGGGCAGAATTCGATTGCCTATTCATTACCGTTTTCAAAATTTAGGTACCCGACTTGGTTCCTGAAATATCCTGAAAAGGCAAGAAATCAACACTTTTTTAATTATCRTATAATTCGTAAACTGCTTAAATTAGAAAAAAAGTTAAAATTGTCTTTGGTAGAACTTTTTGCCTCAAATTCAATAAACTAGTGCAGTCAAATAAAACGTGCATAGGAAAGTCTCTCTTTAAAATTACTTTCGAACCGCGTTTAAATTATTTATGCATTATTATGATCACCCTTGATGTGGTTTGAATTGAGCTGTAGCTCTACTCACTCGAAAAAACATCAATATTGCAATCATCCTGTATTGTTAGAAAAAATCATAAGTTTTAAATTGATAAACTTAAGTAAACCGTCCAGGACATAAACAGCTTGATTAACAACTGATTATATTGAGTGAAACACTGAATCGCTGTGTATATTTCATTCAACATCGAGGATTTTTTTGTAATAAACCAATTTATCATGGTTTGATTTTATTTAAATTTGATTACCCTGTATTAGATAAATAACAGCATTAAAAGTAAAACAAGTTCTTTAAATAGTTTTTTTAATTCGGATTGAAGTAAAAGTTGAAAAATGCATACCTTAATCAGCTGATAACAATATTCAAAACAAACAGCTTGAATTCAACAGAATATTATGACAAATTAAAGTAAATAACACGAAGTGAGCAGTATATGTATTTCATGCTCTATTTAAGTCCTATGTGTATGACAAAGATACGTATATGAGGGTTTGCAACTGTTCCTTAACTAAAAAAAATATCGTTATATGAAATGCTCAAATAAAATTCGGACTTCTAGGAATACTGTAAAACTGAAAAATCTCTGAAACAAGAATACTTTCAGACTCTTAAACTTTAGCTCGATCTCATTCTGCCTTAGTGGTTATCAATGGTTATTAGAAACTGGAAAGAGAAGAATTAATGACAAAAGCTGACAACGACAACAAATCCTCAAATTTGCTGTCAACCAATAAATGTTGATTTTAGTAAATTAAACATTGTGCATTAATCCAGTATTACAGAGAAAAGCTGAAACAAAATAATTAGCCACTATATTGCTATAAATGGCCCTAATAGCAGACGATACAATCGCCTTCGGCGAAGAAGACTTACGTGCAGGGGGCCCCAATGGAGCCCTAACGTAAGTAGGCAGCGTTTTCTAAGATTCGCTACGACCACTTTAGGTCAGAAGCTTAAAGAGGACATTTGCAGCTTATTATTAATGAATCGAAATAATTGAAAAAACACATCAACTTAGTAGAGGTGTTTGTTTTTTACAATACTTATACCATTTTTGCTAAAGAAAATGTTATCAAAAACTCTAGAGTACTTCTTCTAACAAGCGGCACTAATTTGAGTTGGTCATATTAAAACGACAAGCTACTAGAGCCATGTCTGAAATACAGTTAATTTAAAATTTCCAGGTGTCTTTATGTTTCTAAATAATGGCTTTTGGGAATTAGAATTGATTCAGATGTTTCAAAGCACCCAGTATAGGTTTAACTGTTAAAACACATCTTTTGAAAGTCTGTAGGTATCAAATTGATGAGAATTTATCGAAGCAACTCGGACACATCACACTGTAGAAAAAAACATAGTTGTTTATATGAATCCATCAGATATTCAATTTACCACACCGTCTTAGGTCGTGAAAAAGTGCTCATAGTTCCAAACCAGTTTCCTTAACCAGTCACCAACAATTCCGACCCAAACGCATTTGAAAAAGTAATCTTATTCTTTATTTAATTTTTTTATCAGCGCATATGCTGTCTTTAGAACATTTGAAGCAATTAGTTGGAATTTCAAGTGAGACGTGCAGGCGTTAAAAACAATTATGTAATACGATCAGAAAATTTGCAAATACCTAGTACAGTTCCGTTATCCTTTATACTCAGTTTTTATTTATTTGCACAATCACTAAAATCTACTCATCATTAAATAGTACATTGAAATAAGGAACTTTTGTTAATGAAAAGGCATTGGTTGCATTGATTTTCTTAATTTCCTGCCGAAAAGCTATACTTAACAAATTTGTTTTTTTCTACTTACTTTCACCCTGAAATTTTAATTCAATATGTGCCGCATGTTAAAAAATCATGCAATTTCGCATAATTTTTATTTGCAAAATAGCTTAATTACTACAGTTGATATAGGTACTTAAAACCAATTGCGAATTTAGTGTCGAATATTTATCAGCAACATACAGGGTCGCTCAATGAAAAGATTGCATCCGTTTTTATGACTCGTTCAAATGTTTCAATTTTATTTTGTAAAATAACACGCTGTATACTAATACTAAACTATACAGGGTCTTTCACATAGGAAATACTGCGTCATGCTTTAGATGATTTTTAATTAGAAACCTGAAAGTTTTATGTAATTGGTTATGAAACCATGTGTTTCATACCTACGCTCAATAATTAACTATACAAGATGACTAATAGAAAATTACATTTCTTAAAATTAAGTATTTCAATTCGTAATCAGTAATCAAAAATTAGTAATCAGAAAAATAAAGTTGCTTTTATGTGGTTAAAGGTGTTAAAGTCTCCTTTTTACTATATATTATTAGTTTTCTAGTTGCAACAAGTTAAATGTGCCTGGAGAACTATTTTTAAAATAAATTTGTAATAATTGTTCGTTTTCTGGAATGAAAAGTTTATTAAAAGTTTCAGCTCACAATAAAACTTGACAGTGGTACTTTGTCGTGTTTAAAAAACAATTCAAACCTATAGTCGACAGTAATAGAGGGTGGTTCTAAAAAGTGTCGCAATGGAAAACTGTAAATTTCTCATGCATGAAGAAACACTTTCTCTTCCATTTTTCCATCATATCTTTCGTTTTCGACACCTTAAAATCTCCAGCACTGCAAGGTCTAATGAATTTGTGTAAGGTGCGAAAAAGTCTCTATTCACAGTGATAATCTGTGTACGAACGTATTTCCTACAGCTCTTAATATGGTAGAAAAATAAATTAAATTTTGGCACCATGTATTTCGAAAACGAAGAAGTTGAAGATGAGTATAGTAAACAACCAGTTTACTCTAAACTTCAAGCAGGAATGAAAAATAACATAAAACCTATCGGTTTTTATTTAAAAATCAAAAGTTGTACGTAATATCTTGTGTATCAAACTATATGAACATTTTGGAAATTAAGTACGTATTTAATTATTTTTTACTAAATTTGAGCGAGAAGTCATAAAATAACGGTGCATCTTTTTGTTTGGGCTCACTGTATCATCAGCATACAGCAAAATCAAGTCCTTGATGCATAATATTTATTTAAAAAATCGACAAACAAAATAGTGAAAACCAATCGACTTTCAGCCACCCCTATGTCACACTGTTTCATGTGGGGTTTAGAACTGCCGCAATTGTGGCCTACATGCTTTGTGGCTGGTTCAGTGATAGTTTTATAACCAGTTTTGTTACCATCGTGCTGTTACTTTCAATGGACTTTTGGACTGTTAAAAATATCACAGGAAGACTGATGGTAGGGTTGAGGTGGTGGAATTATGTGGATGATGATGGCAAGTCGCATTGGGTATACGAATCGAGAAAGGTAATGCATTTACTATAGATTTGCTTAAAACGATAGCTTAAATTACTTTCTTGTTTGAAATTCATTACGTATTGAATAGGAACTGAGAAGCCATGAACCACTTTATTTAATAACACAATCAAAATTCTTTATAGTCATGTCATGAACCGAAATACTAGTATTTTTCTTTGCTAATCAGTTACACTGTCTAAAAGAACAAGCGAATTGCTTAAAGATATGGATTGTGAACAGAGATATGTGTAATGTTCGGTGATTTCAATTGCTTTTGTGTTTGTCATTTTTACTAACAGTATCTGCTATGTGGCCCATTTTAGGGTCTCATTCAGGGTAGAATAAACGAACGCGAGTCTAAAATATTTTGGACAGCTTTAATTTTATCACCACTTGTATGGGGATTGTTCTTTTTGATTGCCCTATTTGGGCTAAAGCTGAAATGGATGGTAAGAGTGTAGTTGTGAAGTAACTAATTTGTTTAATTCCAGTTTACTAAATGTTTTTTGTAGTTGGTTGTATTAATATCCCTCACTTTAAATGGAGCGAATTTGCACGGTTATATCCGTTGCAAAGTGGGCAACAAGGACAGTTTAGGCACGGTTACTTCAGATTTTCTTAAAAAACAAGTGATGCAGAATGCGATTAATATTGTTACGCGACCATCGAACGCCCCTCCGGCTAATCCTTTAAGTCCGCCAACCAATACAGTTTAAGTTTATAAAAAATTCCATTGTTAATGCCCTTAAAATTTTATTACTTTTACTTGATTCTAAATTAGCGTAATATTTACTTTCAAAATGTAAATAATTCTTTTTTTTTTGTGATTGTGATATATCGGTGTGTATATATACCGAATTCCTCCAAAGTGACTAGTTTTATTTCAAAGCTAATTTATTTATTAAGTATCGGGATTAAGCGCCGGATAGTGAAGATTTATATTATATTAATTTTTTAAATACGTCTATGGGTTAATTAAAGTCCAACGTTTAAACATTTTATTGTATTTCATACGCACAATAAACACGCTTGATGTTGTGCTGTCGTTTTTATCGCCCTATTTATCACTGGATCACGAATAAAAAATAATTTGTCAAAATTAAACTTAAATCCCCAAGAAATGAATACTAAAGAAATTTAAAAAATGCAATTAAAGATAAACAAATTAACACTTGGACAATGGATTGGTAATTCATTTTTGCCATTTTGAACCTCTGTTATCGTACATTGATACTGAGGAAGAGAACATCTTAAAGTTTAAAATTTATGAAAAAGCGAAGTGCAGATTTCGAAATGCGCGAACCTCAGGCACCCCTAGAACGGGTTTCGAGCCTTTCAGCTCTTATCGGCTGGGTTCAGCCTGAAATTAACGGTTAGAACATATTTATTTCATACAAGGATTGCACCTTCTTTCATTTTGTATAAAGCTCGGAACCGGTCCTGGAGGTGCCTGAGGTTGGCGCACTTCGAAACCTGCACTTGCCTATTTCAAAAGCTCAGGGCGGCTCTGTCGATGCCGAAAGCTTTTCATTGTTTAAATTTTATGTTTCCTTGACATCGCACTTTATCTTTTGTACCTTATATTTTCTTTAATTCAAGAAAAATATATTATATAATCATTATAATTAAAAAGAACAGGGAACAGGAGCAAACAATACAAATTTATTTGATAATTATCATTGCCTTTATTGTGTTTTGCGCACAAGTTAAAATACCAAACAGTCATACATTTAGAACTGTTCTCAAACAATACAAGCACCTCTATCAATAATTTGCTTTATCACAGATTAAATTTGAAGAAAATATAACACAGATGCAACACAACTTAGTTCATATATAGCGCTGTATATAGCCACCAACTGGCCTAAGTACACAAGAACTAAATAATTGTAGTATCTCTTATTGTTGACACCAAACTAGAATCAACGTTATGCATATGCTATTTTCTATTTATTCTAGCGTATGATCGTGCTATAAATTATATCTTACAAAAACGACTGACTAACATTGTTTGGGTATGATGTAAATTGCAGACAGAATTGTCTTGCACATTTAAATTTAAGCCTCGTACTTACTTTTCACGGGCGACTGTGAAATAAAACTGGCATGTCTTCTATTCATACTGAAAATGTAACAAAATTAACTCACACGAGCAACTTTGAAGCGTTACGACAATAGTGCTTACTTAATGCACGCTTGCATGACTTTATTTGAAAATTCCAGTACCCAGGGTACTGTAATTAAACCGAAAACTTAACAGTGCATCTTCAAGCTTAATGCGAATCTTCTGTTAATCCTGTCATTATTACTCACGTTAAAAGTGCGATTTTCTCTTCTCATCACAAAATGTGCAATTTAAATATCTTATGTTTATTTCGCTCTCTGTTGTCTCATCAGTTCATCGATTTGACTTTTGTACATGTCTTTCACGTCGACTAAATCTAGTTTCAGTTCCTCGTTTTCCTCAACTTTTTCCCCATAAAGCTGACATAACGTTTCATACTGTTGTTGGAGAGAGGCTAATTCGGTTTTTATGTCTTCAAATGTTTTAGCTTTATTTTCCAGTTGTTCAACCTGCAATAACATTTTATTTTCCATGTTTTTTTAAATTTTATTAGGAACTATTTTTTGAAATCAATACCTTGTTAATCAACGTCGATATTTCAGCGTTCAGTAAAGATCGCTCTTGCTCACGTCGATTCAATTCCCATTGTAACTGTTGAAGTTCGCCTTCTCTCTGCTTGAGGTTGGTTTGAAGCATTTGCATCTCAAACATGTTGGTATAGCGAGGTGTGTGACTTACTTCAAATGGTTCTTCCTGAAATATAAATTATCGATTTTACGATACTGCTTTATTAGAAAATGTTCGAATATGTATTTACTTGTGACCAAAAACTGCTGCTCAACGACTCTGAAACGGAAACCTTCCCCAAACTTAACGTTGGAGAATTGCTTCCTCCATTCGGAGAATTACGATCCACTGTGGTTGTATGGTCAGTCTTTACATTTTCCTAAGCGCAAAATGAAACCGTTGAAATGAATATTATGAAAGCTATACATACATCACTTTTACCAAAGAAGCGTGACTAGTAGTTTGTTGTTTTCCGTCTATTTCGGCACTAAATTTCTCCATCGTTAACTGCTGTTGCAAGTTGTGAATCTCCTTTTCTTTATCCTGAATAATTTCACTTTGTTTTTTTATCGTTTCGCTTAGGCTGTCAATTTTGCTAAAAAACGGAACATTGATTATAAAGGGTCCTTCATTGGAAACGCCCCATTTTTAAATGGACACTTCTTATGCACGGCGGCAATTTTTTTAAATTTGTAAATGTCTACCATTTAATCATGAAAAGGCTCACGCTTCAACAACGTTTACAAATAATCCAACTTTATTAAAAAATGGATTCTGTTACTCAAACTTTACGTGCATTAACTCCAGTTTTTGGTCGTTACAACCGTCCAGATAAAAGAACAATCAAAGGTTTAGTGACAAAGTTCGAAACAAAAGTTACACTTCATGATGTTACAGTGCCAGTGAAACAAAGATCTGCAAGAGGTGAAACAAATATTGCTGCTGTACGTGAAAGTATTTGTGAAGATCAAAACATCGATTTCTCGTCGTTCACAGGAACTAGGCATCTTCAAGACGTCTTTGTGGCGAATTTTACGAAAAAACACGGATTACATCCATACAAAATCGTTTTCGACTAAGAACTCAAAGAAACTGATCATTTAAAGAGACGTGAATTCAGTAATTGGCGCTTAGAAAAAATCTAAAATTATCCAGACTTTTATGAGACAATTATTATCAGCGATGAAGCTCATTTCTGGTTAAACGGCTATGTGAACAAGCAAAATTGTGGGGTCCGGAGTAGCGATAAACCGGAAGAATATCAAGAACTAGCCACTACACCCTGAAAAAATGACTATCTGGTGTAGATTTTATGCTGGAGGAGTTATTGGTCCATATTTTTTTCAACTAAGCTCATCCGGATATAAATGTCAACGGAAATCGTTATCGTTCAATGTTGACTGATTTTTTATGGCCTGAAGTGGTTCCTCTTGATTTGAAGAACATGTGATTACAGCAGGACGGTGCAACTAGTCAAACTGCCACTGAAAAATTTGGAGATTCGATTATTTCAAGAAACGGGCCGATCAATTAACCTCCTCGCTCCTGCGATTTAACTCCATTGGACCTCTTTCTTTGGCGCTACATAGTCATTGGTTTGCAGCAATCATTAAGCAAATTTGCACGCTTTACATATCAATATTTAACGAGTAAGTGCAGAAATACGACCTGATTTGTGGGAGAGGGTCATGGAAAATTGGGTTCCACGCATTCATTCCGGGCAGCGATTCCGTGGAGGACATTTAAATGATGTTTTGTTTCATAGCTAATTGTATCCATTGTACTTTATAATGAAGTAACAGTTTCCATATTTTGGAAATAAATAATGTGTTTTATTTCCTAAACAAAATGGGGCGTACTTAATGAAATACCCTTTATTAATAATGCAAAGAATCAGAGGGGTTTTAAAAATGTACCTTTGTAGGTCTTGTTCCGATATTTGTCTTTCAGTTTTGAGCTGTTCCAGTTGCATTTTGGACATTTCAGCCTCATGGCGGGCTGTACTTAATTGTCCTTCTATATCTGCTAATTTCGACCGAATATTAATACACTCCTCTCTAGCTGTTCTCTCTAAGCTCCCAGACGCTTGCAGCTTCGTTTGCAAATCACCTAAAAGTATGAGAATTAGCAACAATTAGATAAAACACATAGAACCCTTACTGATTTTCACGGTAAGTTCCTGCTCAACCTTTTCGAAACTAGCCACTTTTAAGCTATGGGTGCTTTGCAAACTTTCTATCTGCCTGACTAGCGGTTTGCTCACTTCCAAAACTGACTGGGAAAGTTCGTCGTTTCTATTTTCAATCTCTTCTAATCTACGTAAAAGTTCACTGTTCTCTTGCTTCAATCTTTGCTCTCGTTTCACGTACTCTTCTTCCGCCTTACTTAATTGATATCTCAAATCATCCAACTGGTTAATCACCTGAAATGCACGATTATTAAATTACCTGTACTTAATAAATAATGAGATTCTTCTCACTTCTTCGTTTTGGGATTCGGTCATCTTTTTTTCATTTTCCAGCCTTTCTAGAAGCTGCTGGCGCGCTTCAAGTTCAGAGCTGGTTCTATTTTTGTCAACCAACTCTTTTTTGGCGGCATCTAGAGATTTTCGAGCCGTATCGTACTTTTGTGTTAAATCGTCCAATTGGCTTTTCAATTTTCCAACTTCGCTTTCGAGTTTTTTGTTTTTAGTTGTCAGATTGTGCACTGCTTCAATCTGTGTTCTTTCCACATCCTCTTTTGCAGATAGAGATTTTTTTAGTCTTTCCGTTTCAAGAGAGAGGCTTTCGTTGGTGTCCCTGCAAATGATCAGCTGAATAGTAGCACTGTGAATGGATTTACGTGAAATTTAACATACTTTAAATTTTTAATAGTTGCCTCATGTTCCTTTTCCTTGGTCCTTAGTTTCTTAATGATATTTGAATGTTGCAGCTGCTGTTTTGACAATTTTTCTCCTTCCTCCCTTAGTTCTTTAATAACTTCGTTTTTTTCAGCTACAGCAGATTCCAGCTCATTTTTGCTCATTCGCGTTGCAACATCCAGTTTGGCCTGGTCTAGTTGCTTTCTCAAACTGTCCTTTTCTCTTATTGCCTAAAATTGATATAGTTTGAACATTCTTCAAAGCTCACCCTACTCAATTAACGAACTTGTTGAAACTTCTTTTCCAACGCCGATAATCTCTGAGTATATTCTTCGGTAACTTGAGATAAATCCGCGGTTTCCAGCTGCTGAGTTAGAATGCAGTCCAATTGTGCTTTTAGATCAGAATTGTTTTCTTGCAATTCAGCATTTCTCCTAAAGGGATTTAACGGTAAAACTGTGCTGCAAACTTTTCGAACGTGTAATATTTGGTACCTATTAATTTCAATTAATTTCGTTTCTCGTGACTCCAATATTTCAGTCATTTCCGATATGCGCTTTAAAAGCCTGTCGATTTCTCCGTTCGGGTGAGAGTCATCGCTACAAGATTTTAATTAATTTGGCATAATAAATGCTAAGAAAATCCATTTAGCTTACCTAGTAATAGATGCTTCAGATAGTTCCCTATTATGTCCCTTAACTTTCTTCGTAGTGACCTTGTGTAGCAAAGAATCAATGGTTGATTCATCAGATTTGGCTTTCAAAAGTGCCCGTTTGGCTGGGCTTTGTCTGCTTTGCGTGCTGCTAGAATCACCATTTGGACTAGATATGATTTCCAAGTCTGAAGACGTAGTTGTTTCAAGCTCATCACCTTAAAACATAATGAAAATTGTCTTTCAGCAATTTTCAAATGGTTTAAAAACATCGCGGTTTGCTCACATGAAGTATGACAAGACGTATGGTCTGAACCAATCTTGACTAGGTCGGACTTTTCTGAACTTAAGGGAGATGTTTCTCGGGGAATAATTTCTATTTGGGAAGATGTGGCTATGCTATCAATAGAACTGCCTTTATCTGAGAATTCCATTGTAATTATCGGTTGCATTTTGGGTTCTGGGGATTTTTCCACCTGGGAATTTTTTGAATGCATCAATACTAGCTTTTTAACGTGCTTTGAAGTGTTTTGTTACCATTGCGTCTGCCAGCATATTTTTCAAATGTGTTGAATTGCTGCTAGTTTCTGTGGTAGTGCTAGTGGTGTCACTACTACTTTCCATAACATTTTCCTGGGTTTCCACCAACGTTCTATCTGAAATTGATCCGTCCTCGGTTGAAGTATCAAACTGTGTTTCCGAACCTATGGAAAATATGGTAATTTCTTCTAAGTTTTCCCTGTTAACATGAAAGTTACCGGAACTTCTCATAGCATCATCTTCCTGTGGAAAATCAATTATATTTGTGGTTTCCAGTATTTTGGGTAGTTCCTGTTTGTTTATCGATTGGGGTTGAGTATCGATTAAGATATGGTTATGACTGACCTAAAAACGGAAAATAGCCTTGCCCACTTTAAAATTTCTAGATGAAAAATCGAGTATTTTTTATACCTGCTGGAGGGGCAAATGCATACTTCTGCTCGGAGCTCTAGTAATGGCTTCACCTATCCCAAAACTTCTATCTGGGCTCAGAGATCCTGTATCGCTAGAAATAGTTTCACTAAACTCAGGCCTGGAACCAGAAAGGTTCAAACGCATTGATGATTCAACACATTAACACATGTTCACACAAATCGTCGAAAATAAAAATATGTGGGTCTCACCTGTTGTAAGTATCCTTAAGCATTTTCTGAGGTTTGATATGAATATTAAATACTGTATCAAGCACCGTCGCTGATGTGCTCTCTGATATTGATGTATACGACATGGTGTCTTCGGCGACGCTATTTTCATCTTGCTCTTCCGGTATTATTTCTATGCTTTCTGGTGATATTTGCTCACTGGGTAAGCTAAGATCAATATTCACCATGTTTCTTTGCCCTTCACATCAATAGAAAAATTTACCTTAATTTGCCTTCTACACATGGGGACTCTAATGGGGAAACAAATTCATCCGTATGTTGCGATAGCCTTCTGCTATTCGCACTATCTGAACCAATAATATCTACTGAACTAAGACTAGTCACGCTCTCTCCCAGAATTTCCACTGATTCGGAATTTTGCTTAAAACCTAAAAAAACGCACAAAATTGCTATTGGAACAGCCTAAAACTTAGGATATTTACCATGAACTTCACTGGAATTCGAAGTACTTAAACCAAATGACAAAATATCTGATTCGGGTGTTGTGGTACATTCTGTGCTTGTAAGCACATCGATGCTTTCTGAGTTGTTTTTGCTGCCTTCTGAACTAATCACTGATAAGCGATTGGCAAGTGATTGTGATTTATCCACATGCTTTCGAATAGAAACTACTGACTGAGATTGACCGAGTTGGGAGCATTCACTATCTAAATCAACCTCGACCAACGCATCAGCCACGGGGGTTTGTAACTTGTTTATGGATTCTTCATTAAGTTGATCATCTTCCCTACATTGAACTACTAATTTGCTTTTGCTAAAGTCTTTCTCCTCCTCTATGCCTATTGAGTCATCTAAGCTCTCAACTGAGTGTGAGTGACCTTCTTTTGGAGTAGTATTGTCAACAAAAAATGAGCCTAAAAGGTGTATTCAATTGAATATTGTTGTGATTGAACGAGTTATTGACATGTCTCATTTTTGGAAAAAAGTTTAATTTGAATCTAGAAGGTATAAATGTGGTAAAAATTAAAAATTTCGAACAAACAATCGGTGGTATTTAAGAATTAATTTTTATTTTATCTGCAGTGTGCCCCACACATGTTATTTCTAAAGAAGAATTGTGTTCTCACAAGCCTTTCTTTAAGATGTGATAACTTTTCTCTTCGATCTTTTCACGTGGAAACGTCGCTTTTTAAGTGTAGAAATGTTTTATCTAGTATATTATTCATTGGTATTTATTCCTGCATGATGTACGCATAATTGGGTGCTGGTTTACTAATAGTATATTTCCTTGAGTTGTTTCCGCTCATTAGTTTTAGTTTTGTAAGACCGGAGGGATGTGATAAAATCGTTGTCATTATTTCTACGATCAAAATTTATTCCTGGGTTTCAGTCATTTATTGTCTCTATCAATTAAAATACGTTTCGGTGTATTTTTCCACCATCATCAGTTTTTATGT